ATCAGCTGAACTCACAGCAGCAGAAAGAGATTCAACACTTCAAACATACGTTACATTGTGTTTCATGTGTGAGAGTCAAATATGATCTTACCACAGTTTCTCCAGTTTACAGCGAGGATCCTCCAGTCCAGCAGACAGCAGTGTGACTCCAGAATCTCCTAGTTTATTCCCAGACAGATGCAGTTCTCTCAGGTGTGAGGGGTTTGATCTCAGAGCTGAAGCCAGAGCAGCACAACCTTCATCTGTGACGCCACAATCACTCAATCTGTAGAGAACAATGACACACTCTTCACTCTCTCAGAACAGATCAGTTTAGCAGTGAATCCATAATTAAAAATAAAGTACAAACTTAAAACACAAATCAACATGCTTGATGGATCATTGGACTGAGATCTAAAATATCACAGAACAAAAACATGAAAAACATGAGAGAAAGATAAATAATATTACTTTGTTGCACAATGTAAGTGGTTTAAAAATTACAATTATTACAATTATTATTTGCAAAGACATTTTTAATTATTGACAAACCCAAATAATTAATTCATATGCCACTTATCTGACTCTGAATCTCACGCTGTCACTGATTTGATATAAAACCACTGACCACTAAACTCTGGACAACATCTGCAGCACTGAAGATTTATGAGCTTTTAACTTTGAGTTTCTTAATGTTTTAACAGTGAAGTAATTATTTGCAGTGATACTTACTGAACTGATCTGGATTCTTTAATCACAGGCAGCAGCTTCTGAAGAACTTCTATATTTTCATGTTTATTTTTTCCTTTAACAAATTTATCAAGACAAAACTCATTCAGGTCCTCTTCTGATGTCAACAACACAAAAACCACAGCTGACCACTGAGATGAAGAGAGTTTGGTTTCCTTTATTCTTCCAGATTTCAGATACTGTTGTATTTCCTCCACTAGTGAACGATCACCCAGTTCATTCAGACAGTGGAACAGATTGATGGATTTCTCTGGAGAGTCAATGGTCCTGATCTTCTTCTTGATGTACTCAACTGATTGCTCATTGCTGTCAGAGCTGCTTCTTTTCAG